TATTGGCAGGAACTGGAACACGCTGTCGTATACGCCGATCCAGAGCATCCCAAACATGCTCAATGGGTGACATGTTAGGGTTAGGGTTTTCGGACCCCCCCAATAAAGCAAAAACTGCACGTTTCAGAGTGGCCTTTTATTGTGGCCAGCCTAAGGCACACCTGTGCAATAATCATGCTGTCTAATCAGCATCTTGATATGCCACACCTGTGAGGTGGGATGGATTATCTCGGCAAAGGAGAAGTGCTCACTATCACAGATTTTTTCAGATTTGTGAACAATATTTGAGAGAAATGGTTATTTTGTGTATATAGAAAATGTTTTAGATCTTTGAGTTCATCTCATGAAAAATGGGAGCAAAAACAAAAGTGTTGCATTTATATTTTTGTTCAGTGTAGTAGGGCTCAAACTAAAGAGTTATGTATGTTAATGAATGGTTTCTAATCAAACTATTAATGATCATTTGTAATTTGTAAAAATCTTTTTTTCATTTCATTACAGTACAATGTTTTGTCATATCTTAGAACTGCTAGAAACCTGTTTTGTGCGTAAGAATAGAATAGAATCGTTGAATGTCATTATACATAAAACACAAGACAACAAATACACGCAGCATACATACTAAAAAGGATCATTCTTGTTCCGATTGGTTAAATGACAGATTGATGGTTGTCATTGTTTAATGCTTTATGGAACATGGGTTCTCCAAATGCACAGAGCAAGACAAGGAAAGATGTTGAGAAATCTACATGAAGGAGTATGTTGTTGTAAAACTAATCACATATGTTAACTACTTTAGGTTGGGGTAAGACCAAATGTTTGCACACCTCACATCTTATTAATAACGCCTCATTGCACAGAAGCATGCATTACATGTTTTTAAAGCAAGGATAGATGCTATCCAATCGGAAACTGTTGGTATCTGTAAATGCTACTAGCTATACAAACTGTAGTCAATGTAAATATGCCATATGATGTCCTCTTTGTTTTTCTGTCATGTGTGTATTCATGTTGGAACCTACTTGCAGCAGGTCACCATTGAAAAAGAGGTCAATGATCTCAATGGGTTTTCACCTGAATAAATAAAGGTTTTGAATTGAATTGACTTTAAAGCAGAAACCTTTGAGGAACATCGTATAAATCATTATGAAGTATTATAACATGTTATGTTGTCCACAGCTGCTGGTCACTTTATAAAAACATCCTCATATTGGCAGTAGCTCAGTCTGTTGGCTTTTTGACTTTGGAACCAGATGGTCACTGGTTCGAGTCCCATAATGACCAACAAAACCAATCAAAGGTGGTGTGTACTGGTAACTGTTCACTTTGTGGGCCCCTCTGAAGACCCAACTGCTCCTTGACGCCAAAATATTGCACCTCTCCATAAAATGCATGTATTTATGAATGTATATCAGACCTAATGCGTTAAGGATGGAGAGTGAAACCGGAATATTTCTGTTGTGGGATTAATGAAGTCCTTGTTCTTCCTGTTCTTCTTGATCTTATAAATCCTTGCAGACACGTGAAGGCAGCAGGGCAACTACAGTACGTTGATAAATGTGATATTTAATTGACTTTACTGCAGCTCAGAACAAACACCTGTAGATGTCGGGTGGTGAGCTGCAGAGGGTCATGTGACCGAGCGGAGCGCTGACAGGTGGAGGAGTTTACCTTCACAGCGTCAGGAGACAAGGCGTCTGAACTTCCTGTTTGAATATCCCCCTGTGAGGAGTTAATGTGACGATCAGGAGGAGGTGAGGGGGGCGAGGCGTTCACTGACAGTCTGTCAAAACTCCACTTCAGAGCAGCGAAACGAATAGTCTCTTTTCTTTTTCTTTTGTTTTCGTTGTGTGTCTTCGCGTCCCGCTGTGAGTGTGTCATCAGTCACTTCTCTTTTGTTTTACTTCACTTCGAAAATGCTATGCTGTTAAAGTTTTTTTTATTCCCGTCAGGATTTCTGTGTGACATTTATTTTTTATCTTGTTTTTCCATTGTTTGTTTTTCATAGAGAAGCAGTGTGTCAGCAACACAGCACCGCATGAAATAAACAAACATCTCTTAAATCTCATATTTAGGTCTCAATCATTCTGGGATGAGCACAGGTATACATATTAATAAACATGCTATCCTCTCAAGCAAAGCAAAACAAATAACTCTAAACCTTTATTTTTATCGTAACAGAGACACTCATTTTTTAAAACTTTTTTTACATTTAATCATATTTCCTGTTTTCTGAACTGCTGTTGATGTTGAATTTGTTGATCTAAATGTTTTGCATTAATATCATAAAAGCAGAACAAAGGAAATTATTCAGTGCTGTCCTTTTGTTGCGAAACAACTTTGCGGGAAGTGTGGAGTTGCATTGGCAAAAGCTTAGGCTACCCTTTATAGTTAGTAGCACAACGGAGTAACGGTACGTCCACACATCAGCGTTAAAATAATCTTGGAGGTGGGCGTATCTGAAGCTTGGGGATTTTTTGCGACCAACAACCAATCACATGAATCTCCCGCCCCGACATACAAAGCAATAGCAATGTTAAAGCGAAGTAAACTGGATATAAACTCTCCAAACAGGTGAAAACCTACCAGTTTCACCCACTGTCTCTGCCACCTCCCTCCATGCCTGGTTCCTCCGGTTTGTATCCCGGTAAATAGTTCTGGTCGTAAAGAACCGAGTGGTTTGCTACCGTAATTTCTCGTTTGGAATATGAGGAAATGAACTGCGGTCTGGCTTTCCCAGCTTGATTGGCTGGCGCTTGTACTGTCAGATTTGCATAAACGGGATTTGATTGGCTGACGCTTCCACCTCAGCTTCAAAAGTTGAACATTGCTCAACTTTTGAATCCTGAGATGCATGGAAATCTCCGCTTTGCTTTCCCACAATGCAGTTTGGCAAAAAGTGAGGCAAAGTGACGTCACCCCCATTCAAAGTGAATGGGCAGAAGCGTTGGAAGATTTTTTAACGCTGCTGTGTGGACGGGCCGTAATGGTAGAAGGTAAATGGACTGGATCAATATAGATATTTGTCCAGTCTTTAAGACCCCTCAAAGCACTTTACATTTACAAGTCATGATTCACACCCCTTTCATACAGAGCGATTAAATGTATTATTGAAGGAAAGGCATCGTGAGAAATGTGATGTATTGTTGCAGGTGGGTGACACGACCACAGGGGGCGCCAAACATCAATATAACGGTAGAGGTTTGAAACAACAACAACAAACTTTGCGAAATGTATTTCGGGAAAGAATATAACTGTGGACTATTAAAAATGTGAAAGATTTATGTTAGCATGTTCCCGGTTGGCTAACATCTTAGCTAGTAGATTATCAATTATTATATTGAGAATGTAGTTTCTGGAGCGGATAAAAACTGAAAAAAGTGTTGTCAAATTCGAGGCGATATAGGTGTTGAAGAGAGGAAACGTTACCGCTGTAGGTGATGATGCGCTCAGTGGCGTCGCCCTCTCCGTAGCGGGTGATGGGGGTGAGGCGCACCAGGTAGGACTCAGGTTTGATGAGTTCAGTCAGGTTGTAGGTCAGCAGCTCTCCCTTCTGGACGTTTCCCTCGATGGGAATCTCCTGCTCCCACCAGCGGGACTGAGTCATCTGAAACACACACACACACACAAAGTTGTTTTCGTCCCGAATGAGACGCACAAATCACATTTATCTGCCATACACTGACCTTAATCTTTTCCTCATTATAACCTGAATTCTTACATCATTCTGAACTTTCTGCACTCTTTGACATGACATAAGATTCAGACTGTCCATAGAGAAAGATTAGAAGACTTAAGGGGGGTTCTTTTTTTTATAGATAATCTCAATGGAAACTGGTTCTGTCCTCCTTTTACTCAAATCAAGTTTTGTTGACCGTAACAAAAGAGAGGGTCTCCTCCGTTAAAGAAGTCCACACGACCTCCACGATCCAAAATATCTTCGGCCGAGTCAAAAATGACTTCAAGCGCCTGCCAGGCCAGCAGGTGGCGATGAAATCAAGTTTTGTTGACCATAACAAAAGAGAGGGTTATCCAGGCAAGTGTCTGGAGGGTTGGCAATATCACTCCAGTCTTATTGTTTGCTGGTGGCAGATCATCGGGCCAAAGAGCTTTTGTTCACCAGAATAGAGACCTGAAGATGCTACTTTATATATTAAATACATTCCGTTATATTACACAGTAACAGATATTTATCTCCTCCGTTAAAGAAGTCCACACGACCTCCACGATCCAAGATATCTTCGGCCGAGTCAAAAATGACTTCAAGCGCTTGCCAGGCCAGTAGGTGGCGATGAAGGCCACGTCAACAAGGTGAAGCGTATTATTCTTTGGCAGTTTTCGCAAATCATAAGAAAATATTGAATATATCTGTACAGAACCTGAAATGTGTGGAAGGACGACGAGGTTGAGATGTCAACTTATAATATAGTTTTGACACATAAGAACAATCTGCGTGCGGAATTCAGGAGATGGTGTGATTTAGCCGGAGATACAGTACGTGTGTTGAACACTTCCTCCTCATCCTCTCTCCCTCCCCTCTCTCTCTCTTCTCTCTCTCCTGTAAACTCGTAGTCTCACTAAGTTTCTTCCTCCAGTCTCTCTGGATCCTCGTCTTCTTATCATTTTCTGTCCTATCAGCACTTCCTCCCTCTCTCTCCCTCTCTCTCTCTCTCTCTCTCTGCAGCACACTGCTCAGTGTGAATGAAAAGACAGGACAGTTGCCATGGCAACACGCCCTCCTCCACCTTCTCCTCTTCCTCCTTTTTCTCTAAAGCCAGGCTGGTGCTGCAGGAGGAGCATCAGGTACACACTGTGTGTAACAATCAATTCAATGAATCACATCGTAATAATAATACAGCTCAATATCACAAATCACACTTTAGTCTCAGGAGACCTTAGCGTACACCTTCTGTCCTGAGACCCTCGCAGGTGCAAGGTGAAGGTCCCAAAGAAATCCAAGAATTAACGGGAAAATGGTAGAAACCTCGGGGAGAGAAGCAGAGGAGGATCCCTCTCCCAGGACGGACAGAAGTGCAATAGATGATGTGTGGATAGATTAAAAAAGATAATTTCTTATGCATATGAACAGTGTGTGTGTGTTATCCGAGTGTGTGTGCGGTGTCCTCAGTCCAATCTGATCAAATCCGTATAATGGTTTATGTTCAAACTTAATCTAGTTTAGTTTATAAAGTCAATGTGTCATGTATGTTTATGATTCTATCGTGTCTTCAAATATTTGGTTAAATCCAATTAAGTTAATAGAAGAAGAGTGTATCATATATTTGTCTGTATATAGTTTACTATGATATATTTATCAACATTTATACAGTTTCTGTAGAGTTCTATCCAAAGTTCAGAAGTTTTCCTCTGTGTTGATTCACCTGATCTCGTTCTCCGTTATTCACCTGGAAATGTGACCTTTATAAAACTGACTGTGTGTAGATACTTAGTTATCAGTGCTTTCTCTTCTTCCACTATGACAGATTCCTGCTGTTAGCTACATTCTAGTGACTCCCAATGGAAGTGTGAGCATTCAAAGTTCCTGCAGTTTTATAGTAAAGGTACATTATCCCTATTTCTTTGAGAATGTGGTAAGGACTACCATGGGCGGCGCAGCCATTATATGAGGGTGGGACAAGTCCCCCCCACCTTTTAAAATGATTAGTTTAGACCCCCCCATTTTTACTATGTGGAAAGTCCGTGAATCGGTCTATCCACTCGCCTCTCTCTGTAGAGCCGCCATGTCAGTGCTTCATTATCAAATCCATTCCACTATTATCGAGAGAATGCCCAAATCAATGAAACTCCGCACCATGTTTTCACTGCTACTTTGTACCAAGGCAGATTCTCAGAGCCGTACACATGCTGCGTTTTTAGTGTAGCTGTGTCTTTAGTTGTAAAATTATGCGCGCCACAGTTTCGATGCTGCAAGGCTCCGGCGCTAACAGTTCACGAGCGTGCTCAACTAGCTGTTATTAAAGAGGTGGAGGGAGAGTCCTCTCCTGTCAGACTGAGAGGCTGATAGCTACAGCTCAGTGAGGTAAAGGACTCTCTGAGGGTTTAGATAGTTCACTTTAGTCTAAGTAGTGGGTCTCAAACGGTTTGGTAATCGTTTATGTAAATAAGTATTTCCAAGGCACACCTTTATGATCATTATAGTTATAAAAAACAAGAGAAAAACAGGTATGAAATAATTCCAACTCATACTATAGGACAGTAAGAATACAGGTAAAATGGGGAGTGATTTGTAAAATATGCAAAAAGTAAATCTGTTTACAGTTCTGTTTCACATGGGTTTTGTTGAGAGATGTATCCATAGATTTAGTCCCTAATGTTGCTCTCAAAGTGCATCAGATTTAACTTCAATATTTAATGCCCCCGGACCCCCCTAGAGGAGGTGAGGTCCACCACCTGTCCACACCCACATTGAGGATGCTTCCTACGCCCATGGGTACTACACATTCTCACCCTTAAACACAGACTCAATTTCACTTCACTAAGACACAATCATGTGAACACAAACACACAGTCTGATTGGTTTAATCTGAATATCTTTACTGGCTCATAAAGCCTGTGGACTTGTTTACTGCCTCATCGGTTTTTATTGGCTGTAACCAACGGCACATAAACCAAACGAGGAGTTCATTAAAGTGATTTGTCACATTTAAGACTAAAAACACCAAAATCTCAATAACAGTTCGTAAACAAGAACACGAGAAGTCAACAGATGATAAAAAGTTATTACAAGAGTCCGAAAAACTCTGTTTTATATATTTGATGATTAGATTAAATAACAAACATACTTTATGTATAAAAATTTTTGCTGTTATGTTTGTGCACGGGTTTTTTGTTGTTGCGTTTTTCTTGTTGTTTGCTCCTTTTACCCCTCACTACTCTGTCTCTCCGTCTCTGCAGGGCTGGTGTGTGACAGGGGGCGTGGCTGGTATACTCCTGGCTGCAGATGAGGCACACCTGTCCCCACTCACATGATCAACCTGCTCTTTAAGAGCCTGGCCCTCACCTCACTTCTCTGCCAGAGAGTGACATGCTGTTCCACGGTCCGGAGTGCCTTCCTGCAGCCTGGACTCTGTTTTTGTTCACTTTGCAGTTTTTTTGAGGAGCTTTTGAGTTTTTGTCGGGAACGTTTTCCCTCAGCTTTGTTTTTGGACTTACTGCAGCCAGCCAGCTCCCTGTCGTCAGTACCTGCCGTGGACTACCTTCCTTTATTAAACACATTGAAACTTTATTTGTGTCAGTCTCTGCTTTGGGGTCCAAGTAGTATCCAAACGCCACAATACCCTACCTATATACACACCTGCAATCATACTGTCATTATTTACTGAAAACAATAAGGCTTTTATACTAAATTGCAAAGTAACTTTAACTTGAGAAGACAGCATCAACTACCTCTGACGATCCTCCCATCCCTGTGCTAGGTGGATTTGGCTGCTCAATCACTTCATCAAGAGAAGTCCCAGATTCACTCCTAAAAAACAAAAAAGGTACAGAGAATTGGTATAGACTTTGAAACAGTCATTTGAGCAAACTAAAATATTACATATTTATTTGAGAAATGAGAGAAATGTTTTGATAACAGCTTACAGTCAATGTCGAGACGAAAATCAATATGAATAATATCTGATAAAAACGGACGGATTATAATTTGTATGTTTTTTCATTTAGATTATTATTATTATTATTATTATTATTATTATTATAGTATTGTTCAATAACAGGGGGGGTATTCCTTTTATTCTGAATAGCGTAGGCTACTTTTTCTAAATGAGAAGCTCCAGTTAGTAAAAAATATGAATGCCGCTTCCAGTAACACGGCAACAAAAGGGGCAGGAATTATGATCCCCAATCTGATCAATGACGACATGTATAGCCACATGGCATCGTTTCAGCGCTGGTTGTCTTGGTGGTACCTAGCTAACGATGTGGGCTTCGTTAATAATTGGACAGCCTTCTGGGGAAAACCTGGTCTGATTAAGAGAGATGGCATTCATCCTACTTTGGAAGGTGCAGATCTCATTTCAGCAAACATTTCAGAGCTTTGTGGACTTAATCCATGACAAACTGGAGTTGAGACCAGGAGTTGGAGTCGCAGTCTTACACGCTTCTCTGCGCTCTCTCCTGGGCAGTCATCCATAGGAATCCAGGGTGTCCACATAGACAATAAACTGGACTGGAGTAAAAACACTGAGGCCCTATATAAGAAAGGCCTGAGTCGCCTGTATTTCCTCAGGAGACTCAGGTCCTTTAACGTCTGCAGCACTCAGGTCCTTTAACGTCTGCAGATGTTCTATGACTCGGTGGTCTCCAGTGTGATCTTCCTTGCTGTAGTGTGTTGGGGCAGCGGGGTGAAGACAGCTGATGCCAACAGACTCAACAAGCTCATCAGGAGAGCAGGCTCTGTCCTGGGAGTGGATCAGGAGTTGTTGGCAGTGGTGTCGGAGGGGAGAATGCTGAGGAAACTTCTCAGCATTCTGGACAACGGGTCTCACCCCCTGCATGCCACACTGGTTTCCTACCGGAGCACTTTCAGCCACAGACTGAGATCACCCATAACCACCACACAGCGCCACAGGAGGTCTTTCCTCCCAGTGGCAATCAAACTCTTTAACTCTTCACCCCTAAGTAAAGGGCACTGAGAACTCCCACACCAACACTATGTGCAATATACTGTAAGTACCATCACTGCAATACACTCGCTGCTATATATATAACTATGTGCAATATTAGTATTATTAATAATGCTATGATAACGTGCAATTACGTAACTGCCACTACGTTTTAGTTTTTGCACTATAACTACTAAATACTGCTAATAATCATTGCATTGATTGTGTGACCATCTATGTTTCTATGTTTCTACGTTTCATGTTGTCTCTGGAGGTTTAATTGCTCTTTTAGTGTACAGTTTTGCTGCTGTGTTTATTGTATTTTGTTACTCCGGCACAACAATTTCCTTCGGGATGAATAAAGTCTTATCTTA